CAAAACCGAAATCCTTGTATAATTACTGATTTTTTTCTTATTTTTATAAAAATATTTAGTGGCGATTGCTTTTTTAAATCAGTAAAACTTCTGTGATTTAGTTTGAATTTTGGAGGCGGAAATTGTTGTTCACACAGGATTCTGGTTTTAAAAAAACAGCTAAAATGATAGCAAACAGACCGGATGGTAGTTGGATTTCATTCCAATTTTTGTTTGTCGGGTAGTGGGTAGATGGAATTCTGATTCCTTTAAATTTTAGTCTTATGTCAAGTATTTTTGTATCATGCATACTGTAAGGTTTAGGAAGATTAAGAGGTGTGGCGGGGAGAACACATATTTTATTTCTGATAGTGTCTGAAGATTTAGGAGCTTGGGATTGCGGATTACAAAAGTTTGGGTTAGGGATCTTGTGGGGGAGGGTCGGGGGTGGTTATAAGAGGGGGGGGGGAAGGTTCTTGAATAAGACAGCTGGTTGCTCCCAAGATAAAGAAAGTCTACTATATCTTTTCTCCTCTATTCCATTCATCCTTTTAATCTAGTATCTAGCTCTCTCTAGTACTCACTGCTCTTAAATATCCTTCCCTGTCTTTACAATGGGAAAATAATCCAGACATATATGTGCTTAGAAAACCGTAAATTCTGACATTTAAAAATTTTTTTTTACATTCAAACCTTGTTTTATTCCTTACTTTCAGACCTTCAGACCTTGTTTTATTCCTTACTTTCAGACCTTCAGACCTTGTTTTAATCCTTACTTTCAGGCCTTGTTTTATTACTTACTTTTATACCTTATTTTATTCCTTACTTTTAGACCTTGTTTTATTCCTTACTTTCAGACCTTGTTTTATTACTTACTTTCAGACCTTGTTTTATTCCTTACTTTCAGACCTTGTTTTATTACTTACTTTCAGGCCTTGTTTTATTCCTCACTTTCAGACCTTGTTTTATTCTTTACTTTCAAACCTTGTTTTATTCCTGTCTTTCAGGCCTTGTTTTTGTTTCTTTTCTTTCAGCTTAGTCATTTTCTCAGAAGTTTTAGACTTTGAAATTGATACGATTTTTAATAATTTTCAAATTCATTTTTTCTGTCATATTAATCTTTTTATTGGAAGATAAAAATTGCAAATCGGTTTAACTTCTTATGCAGAAAAGAAAAAATTTTCTAAAAATTTTCTGGAAATGCATATTTAGTTTTTAATTTGCATCCATAACTCATAATTAATTAATAAATATAATTAATAAGTTTAAAATCAATAATATATATAATATAATATATATATATATATATATATTATTTTCTTATTCATAAATAAATAACTTAACATCACAAGACTATGACAGCACAAAGTGCTTATATGGCAAATCCGTCAAAATGCAAGTGATGACTTTGAAAACGTTTTGGAATTATTTTGTTTTGTTTCGAATCTCAAAACTTAGAAGTTTGATCATTTATGTATTATTCAGAAAAGAAAAGAAAGCACAGGACGAAACGGATGAAAAAGTTTAAAATTATGAATATTACTTCTTAAAGAAACAAGATTTTAACATATTTAAGTAACGATTCAATTACCTTAGTGCTATTGTGAACCAAGGATTACCGATGTTTCGCAATTGTAAATAAAGGGTGTCAAAAAAAACCAAACGGTTCACAGTTTTCTTTATAACTTTTTTTTTGGTTTTGAGTCAAGTTGCATAAAAATCTACCAAAACATGTATATAAGAATCAAGTTGCATAAAAATCTACCAAAACATGTATATAAGAATCAAGTTACATAATCTACCAAAACATGTATGAAGAATGAGGATATGTGGAAACGATAACAGTTTTAATTTTTGGACTTGGAGTTATTATCTCAGCAAAGATCCCTCATCATGCGACAAATCCAAGCTTACCTTGAGAAGCACTCTCAAGCTGAGCTCAGACAGGTCCGTGGATGGATTCATTATTTACCAAATAATGAAGTTTCATGGCAGCCTTGATGTAAAAAAACATGCAGGCAACAATGGCAGATCCCAAATTGCAGGGAGAAAGCAGGGTCCCCTGTGTTTATAAGTGATTTTTACAAGAACTACAACCCTGTTCCTAAAAACATAAATGGTGCTAAGTATGCTGATCATGTTTGGGACTATGTTGCTCCAGCAGTTGAGGATCTTTACCCAGAAGGAGATGCTATCAGGCAAGATGACCTATAGTCTTAATCCACAGATGCGCTGCAGCATTGGTAGCTGTCAACATGTGATTGGACCATGAAGAGCAGTGCCGTAAATTTTCGATGTATAGCTGATAGAAAATGTGTATGGGAAAATCTAGGAGAGGGTAGCTTAACAAAAAAAGCTAAAGAGGTCCATCATTGGTGCATAGTGATCTATTAATGAGGACGGAGCTCTGGTGGTCATGGTGATGTCCTCCATAACAGTTAGATGTCAGGCTGTTGTGGAGAGTAAAGGAAATCAAGTGCACTAAACGATATTGCTATCTTTTCCCAAGTGTGTAAACATGATTTTGTGTCATTTTTATAAAGTTTGATCCTGAAATAAAAGAGGTTATAAAGAAAACTGTTATCTAATTTATTATTTGATCAACCGTTTGTATAAGTTTAATCTGTAAATATAGTTTTGTGTGCAAACATTCATTCAATCCAATCTAGGCCGTTTACTTTTCAAGACTATACTATGTTACTTAAAGACATGGTAGTTAAGCTGAGATCGAATGCAGTAGTGTAGAGAAGTCTTTTAGAAATTATTTGAAACCTTGAAAGACGTTTGTAGGGTGTATAATTATTCAGGAAGAGTGAAAATTCAATCATTAAGACCCTGGATTGTCCGACCCACCAGGGAGGCGTGCAACGGAATTTATAGAAAGAGAAACAATTCCACTTTGTACCTTTTCTAGGTTTCATTTCATAAACAAAAGGAAAACGCGTTTTTGGTACACAATGACTTAAAAACTGTTTTTCTTCCGAAAAATTAAAGATTTAGACCTAAATCTAAAAAAATATTAGCTTAACGAACTTGTGTATTTTAAATTAGGCTAAGAACAGAGTTTTAAATGAAAAATGCCCTTCTGTATGAATGGTCTGTAAAAAAGAGACTGTTAACGTAATTTCATGTGACCTTCAATTTATAAAGTGAAATGTGCGATTTATTTGGTACCCAATGTAAAGCTTATTTATCATAAATAATGAATGAGATTTCCAATTGTTTATAACATTAAATGGAGGGCTACTTGAAATTGCAACAATAATCCATTTAAAATTGTTGATAAGAACTGATGTTGGTTTAAAAGGATGATAAAAAGATAGATGGATTGAACATTGTTATCTGTACATTTTAACATTTTCATGTTAAACATGTTTAGATGTGTACAAAGCGTTTGATACATTGGTTTCTTCCTCCGTAGGTTTGAAGAGAGTTCAGAGGAGTTTTCAAGATATTTCATCTCATCCAAGCAGTAGTTTATTTCATTCTCATTCTATTTTGCGGATTGGATGGATGACCTCTTTAGTTAGGATTATTTTACGATACTGAATTTGCGAAATTCCATGCGTAGAGTGGCTTAAACGGTTTAAATCTCTGTCTGGTCAAGGATAAATGAGAGATTTGTCTTGGCAAAAATTGATTATTTTAATTGGGATTTCTCTTTAAAAGTCAGAGACGCATTTATGCTTCCTAAATTATAAAGGAAATTAACAGAACAAATCACATTTTTTAGAAAGAACAATACAGAAATGTTCCTTGTTTTTCTGTAGATAGAGGTAGCTTGAAGAACCTCTTTTTAATGATTTGAAAACCTAGGTTTATGCTATCCAAGGTTATAATGCAAGGAAGGTTAATTGCCGTTGCGTAAACTCTGCGTACATATTTAAACCAGTTCTCTCTGGGCGGAATTTGTAAACAAGAATAGATGCATCAGTGTTCGTTTTGTATCCGAGGAGGGTAAAAGCATTAAATTTTGATAATTTTGATAATTCACATAATAGTTTCCTATGACCAGAATATTTCATTGACTTTTTTATGTGAAAGATGGATCCCATGTCAGCCTTCGACATCCGTCTTGTGTTTACATTACCGACCAGTGACAGTACACTGCAGTACAAAAGATGCCTACAATTCTGAAATAACTTTCCTAATGCTTTATAACCTTGATGCTATCTATGTGTCTGTTTGACTGTTTGTCTGTTTGTTTGTTTGTTTGTATCCAATAAACGTTAAAACGGCTGAACCGATCGGGCCCAAATTTTTTGTGGAACCTCACGTGACCACAGGAAAGGTTTATGAATGATCAAAATTTCAAATATTTGTTTCCATCAAAATTTAATCTTCATTAAATTTTTGAACATTTTGAAAATCCATGAAATTTTTTGTGAAAATCCGCGAATTATTTTTGTTTTGTTTTACGATGTACACAAAGAGAATATGTTCACAATTAATTTAGAAGATGGGCGCGAAGCGCCCTCTAAGGCTAGTGTTTAAAATTGAAGTATTTCTTTATAATCAACAAGTGGCCGTGAGATGGCACTTTAAAAACCTATTGTAAAAATGTAGCATGTCGTGCCGGGTCAACTTAGGCATACGTAGCCCATTCTGTGAAAGGAGATAAGCAGTCTGTGGTTTTAGTTTTCAGTTTATTTGCATATTAGGGTATTAGTGATTCAAAGGTTGCAAGTGCTTTTTAGTTCTGGAATGTGAATGTCTAGGGCTACAAAAATTATAAGTGAGTTAGCGAGGTATAATTAAAGGCCAAGACCCGCGTTGCAACACTTTAAAATTCTTTAAAATTCATAAAACTTTGCATAGCAGTCTCTGGAATCTGGATCTTTATAATAACAACGAAACGGTCATACCCAAAGGGTTGTCTATGGCCGCTGCAAATAAAATTTTTTTCGAAAAAAAATCACTCACAACAAGACTGTCCAACAGAAGACTTAGTTTTCACTTTTAAATTCTTTGGGTAAAAAATAGAGTTCTCTTTCTCATAATCAATTGATAAATGATGCAAGCGTATTTGATATTTTATTTCATCTACTATATTTCACAATAGACTTTTTAGAAATGACTATACTGTTTTACACATATAACTAGGAAGTTAACAGCATGTATCAGTTTTTTCTAAATAGTTTTAGAAAGCATCCCTGTTGGCATTTACAAGAAAATGTGTTTAATCATGATGAGCTTAAAAGTAGGGTAGAAGCTATATTAAAGAAAAAAAAATGGAAGAAGAAAAATCTAAATTTGTTGATCGGACTTTTTAACCTGAGTCTAAAACTAAAGAATTTTAAGTTATAGCTTAAAGTTCTGAAGAATAATGAGTTGCTACTTAAATATTAACCGTTTAACCCTGAAGGAAAATTTAAATTTCCCGGGAAAATATGAACCAATCAGATTACGGGAATTACGGAGATTACAGATTGACAGAGATTATGCAACATCAGCAGTTTCGTAATTTCAATTTCTTCATAAAACTGCAGCGCGAAAAGGAAAAAATATATTTGGTATTAGATACACGATGTATTTGTTTTTCCAGATTTCGGGAAAAGATTTTCATGCTTTGAAATATTGCAAAATTGAATGCAGATATTTTCGAGTTTAAAATTTAACTCCCTGAAATCGACGAGTAAGATTTTGAACCCAGGGTTAAAATTCAGGTTTAAATTAAATCGGAAGTGGCATTTAATTAAGCTGAAACTTAACATTTAAGTCGTAACTCTTTGTTCTTTAGTTTTAGACTCTGTTGAAGAAAAATGAAAAAGTCTGTTGGAAATAAATACAAGGCTTTTAAGAAGATACTTTTAAACAGATATAATATTAGCTGACTAGCACCGGGAGAAGAAAGGTTTAAACTATACAAAAATATCTAAGCATTAAATGAAAATAAAAATGGCATTTGTCCATATATTTTCGTTTAAGTTTGACTAGAGCTTTTACATTCAAAATTACTGAATTGAAGGGGGGGGGGGGGTATTTAAAAAGCAAGTAGAATATATTTTGCAGGAGTTTATATTAATATAAAGTAAAAGATTATGGAGAAAACCAGTTTTAGACAACATCAGCAATTACTGAAAAAAAAACTTTCATACTTGTTAAACTATTTTGTGACTGAAGACATTAAAAAATGGTAAAAGAAGGCAGATTGATTTCAGAATGGAGAATACCAGAATAAGGTTAAACCCGTCCTGCCTCTCTCCAGGGTTCCAGGTTGAGACAAGGTATTTCTCCAGACTAGCAGGAGAATAAGGTTAAACCCGTCCTGCATCTCTCCAGGGTTCCAGGTTGAGACGAGGTATTTCTCCGGACTAGCAGGAGAATAAGGTTAAACCCGTCCTGCATCTCTCCAGGGTTCCAGGTTGAGAGGAGGTATTTCTCCGAACTAGCAGGAGAATAAGGTTAAACCCGTCCTGCATCTCTCCAAGGTTCCAGGTTAAGACGAGGTATTTCTCCGGACCGACAGGATAGACGAGGATTTAACTAAACAAAGATAATGTAAAAAAGTGATCTTTTTTATCACATGATAAAAATAAAACGACTAAATCTTATTTATAATTCATGAACTTTACAATTTTTTTTTTAAATAACGCCATGGTTGTGTGACAGAAAGTATCTAATCATTTTAGTTTCTAATGAACATCTTAAAGCGGAAATATTGGGTCTAATTGGATTCCTAATCTAGAAAATTGAATGGTTGTGTTTATTGCTAAATATGGTACCTTATGATCAGGAAGCAGCATTGCTCGGAGCTGAACTGTTTCAGCAGAGTCTGTATTATCACAGATAATTCTAGCCAATGATATCTTCCTGATCTCCTCTAATTGTTCAACTGTAAAACTACTGGGCCAACCAGAGTTTTCATACCAGAACCTGCAATATTAAATACTATAGTTCGCCACAGGCTCAATGGTTTAAAGGTTACGAGCTATTGCCCATGGAACCGGAATTTACTGTGAAAAAATTGTACCTTTAGTGATATTTGTAAGGGCCTTCTGATAATATACATGATTCCATTTTTTATTCCCACTTGGGATTAATTCAGTAAATTAATTTTTTCAATTTTATATCTTGAATTCTATTCCTTACTACTTTGAAAATAAATGGAAACTTTATTCTTTCCTAGTTTCCCTTCGCCTGTAACTTTAAAAGCAATTTGTTTTTGGAAAACCCTATGCTAAAAGGTTTTTTTACTATCTAGAGCCTTAAACTCTAGTTTTCTAATCATTCAAATTTTAACTATTTGATTTAGCAGAATTTGTAATATCAAGTCTACGTCATCAGGTTGCAAAATTGTAAAGTCGTCTTTGTTTTAGCTTTTAATTTAAAACAAACCTGAAGATTTTCTTATTTGTAACGCGCGGTTATTTCTGATATTGACAAATTTCCAAAATTTGTACCAAGGTTTGTAATAAAAAAAAAACATGTGAAAGACAACTTTGGTCCGATTATTTCTACCTGTCTCCAGATCTGAGGTTGAAGAACTGTCTACCAATGATACAGGCAAAGGTTGGACCAACAAGAGATCCCTTCTGAGGGATCTCATTCACACCTCCAGACCAGATATCAATATCCTAGAAGATATTAATATAATTGATCAAATTATCTTGTAACAGCTGACAACTCTGATCAAATATTCTATAACCGATGTCTTCGTTATATTGATATAAACGCCAACCACTGTACAAAAGCTGCAAGCTCTAATCAAATGATCTTTAACAGTTACCAGCTTTGATCAAATGATATTTAATAGTTTCCAGCTTTGATCAAATGATCTAAAACAGCTACCCCTCTGATCAAAGATCTATAACAGCGGCCAGCCCTTTCTGATCAAAAGATCTATTTAAATGATCTATAACGGCTCTCAGCTCTGACAAAATGATTTATAACAGCTGCCAGCTCTATCTATCATGATCAAACGATCTAGAACAGCTGCTGAAAATTTAAGAATAATTTGGTAATGAAATAGTGACTGCCAGTTAAAATTGAACATAAAAATAAAAATTTGACAAAAAATGTGTGTAAAATTTTACAAAGCAGTTAAAAATCTGTTCAAAATAATGTGTGTAAAACGTTACATTAAACTTCAAAACCTGTTCAAAAAAATGTGTGTAAAGTGTTACATAAAACTTCAAAATCTGTTCGAAAAAGTGTGTGTAAAATGTTACATTAAACTTCAAAATCTGTTCAAAAATATGTGTTAAATGTCACAGTAAACTTCAAAATCTGGTCAAAAAAATTTAAATAACATTTACATTTTAGTAAAATAATATGTTTTACCTCAGGAGACTCATATATTCTCTGGTAAGCAGTTCCATTGTGCATAACTCCGACCAGGTCTCCCCACGTGGTGATTGGCTTCAGACCACACCATTCACGGAACCTGGAGAGGAGAAAGAAATCAAAACCAGAAATCAAGATTCAAAATTATCGGATATCTTTATGTAATTTGTTTAAAGCAAAGAACAATGCAATGTCTTAAACTAATGAAATTTTATAGAAATAAATGAAAATTCCGTAAATCAATAAGAACCTTAAGAACTTAAATATGTTGAGTTGATTTGATTAATTGGTTAACATTTTCAAACATCAAGTCAAAATATGGATTTGTGAATTCTGGTGAGCATTTTTCGATTTCAATAGACATTAGGCAATTTTGGAATAAAATTCGCTAAATTAGATTAAAATTGTGTATTTTCATGACTTTATAAAGACTCTGTGTAATCAAATTTCAGACTTCTAACCTCAGACATGCATCTCACCAATAACAACACGACTACCATGATAATGATTAATTCTATTTTGCGATCTCATCATCTCTCTCTTTTGTAACGTTTGAGAATTCAAGTTGAAATGATTTATTTGTTTTTTACTTAGAGAGGGGAGGGGGGACTAGGATCCTCATTTATCCCTTGAAACCAATAAACACCAGGAATGGGGGGGGGGAGAGAATTGCCTACCACCCAAACACAAAATTCTGTATCAGCTCTTAGGTTCAAGGGAAAAATTTACTTTTATAAACTTGTACTGTTGTACATAGTTTTTAATACCATATTATTAATGTACGCGCGGAATATTTTTAACAAATTCAGATAAAAAAGTAAACCCAGCTTTCTAATGAATATTTTGACAGAAAGCTTCAATCGTTTTGGTCTTCAGGGTTATCTTTGCTGTATCATGTAAAGTGAATAGTTTATCAAATTCTGATAAAACATGGTAAACCTATTGTAGGATGGAACTCCGTGTTCTCTTCCTCTCTGCATATTAATGGCCGCTAGATCCATCCCAAACGCCATTCCTGGCTCCTCAAACAGATGGTTTGTTACCTAAACAAAGAATAAATGTTGAATAGACTCTAATCATCCCTTGATATTTACAGGTCATAGAACTGATTAACATTTGTCTGAGTTTAAACAATGAATAACTTGGGATCAAAGTTCATGAATACACTTCATATTTTATCGTCAAGTTGCAAAAGCCCATCATCAAATAAAAAATATTCCTGGTTACCCACAAAAATAATTTGCTTCGAGTACAACCTAAAACTCTTAAAATATTTAGATCCCAAGGATAAATCAAGTCTTCTTGCCTTGAATATCATCTTTTGAAATAGGTTATTAAATGTTTTAGTGAAGAAAGAAACAAGTTAAGAATAACAGGAAATCATCTAGAAATAGAAAAGAAACAGGCAGTATAATACCGTCTATAATACCCTGTCTTTCAAAAAAACCACCCACCCACCTGGTCTGTGATTGAATCATCCATAGCTTGAGCAACCTGATTCATCATACCGAAAATATACTGATCAGACCAGCCAGCCTTGAAAAATTACATTATTATTTACATAAAATCAAAGACGACACAGTATGAAAAGTTTGCAGCATTCTACTCTAACTTGCGCTTACAAATCAACTGATTCTAAATTGGATGCCGTGTTCACTTTATGATGTTCATACCTTGAAAAGATCATAAGGCTGCTGCAACATCTCAGAAAGCTTCTGATTTCCAATATACTGATGGCTTCTGCTCCATCTCTCTACAAATACATGTAGATTATGTACAATCACGTACTTAAATATTGTGATCAGCATACGCCAATACATACATCAATTAAATTTATGAGCATCTACTTAAAAGTTATCAAATATTCATATAAAAAGCTGGCTTTATCTAATGATTTAGTAAAATATATTCAACTTTATTTAAGAGTTTAGTTTAGAGATTGGAGAAAAGATAAACTGAATTAAATGTTCTAATATTCAAAGTCATTGGAATTAAAAATAAAATGGGAGAGATGCAAAGAATACAAAATTGAAACTTAAAATATAATTTAAATTCGGAAAATTTAACAAACTTCACAGAGATTAGGTAGGCCCTTGACAATAGGAAATGGCTGAAAATTGACTCAATGGCTAAAATGACTTTGTTCGCAGGGTATTTTAAACCTGTGGCTTCAGTGGTTTAATTCTATCCCTGAAAAATGACTAATTATTTATTTTTTAGAAATACTGAGAGTTAGAACTAATTGTAAAAACCCCAATTGAAAAATTGTCAAGACGACATTTAATAAATTCTTTCAATATCTCCAAAGTTCCGGGTTAAATTGTATTTGGTGGACGTCCATTTTATCCAAGGGTTCCTGTAGTTTAAAAATTCACACAAAAGATATTGAGACCTTGAAGCTAGACGCTATCTCAAACAAAAGTTTCACTCTCCGAGTTATGAGTGTGAAGATTAATTATAAGTTTACCAATAGTTGAAGGAAGAAGGGAATGTCCGAATCTAAAAGCTGCTGTTATAAATACTTGAGATGATGATGGGTTGATAGTTTTATCATAGCCGTCATAGTAACCCTGAAATAGAAAGAACCATTATCATATGTTCCTTGTTTTTTTGTTTGTTTGTCTCCAAAAAACGACAGCTATACCAATCAGTCCAAATTATATTTTTTCATCTTGTACGAAAGGTAAAAGGAAGACTATGATAAGTGAAAAGGATGAAGCATCCTAAAAATTTTATTTTTATAATTGTGTCAGAGTTTATTTATAGTCTTTCATAGAAGAGAAAGACCATGCTCCTGTTCCTACCTGTGAGAAAGGAGTCAGACCATGCTTCCGTTTCTACCTCGGATAAAGGAATAAGACCTACTCACCTAGCTCCTGTTCTTATCTGTGAGAAAGGAATAAGACAAAGTTCCTATTTCTACCTGTGAGAAAGGAGTAAGACCATGCTCCCGTTTCTATCTGTGATATTTGAATAAGACCATGCTCCTGTTCCTACCTGTGAGAAAGGAAAAAGACCTAGCTCCTGTTTCTACCTGTGATAAAGGAATAAGACCTAGCTCCTGTTTCTACCTGTGAGAAAGGAATAAGACATAGCTCCTGTTTCTACCTGTGAGAAAGGAATAAGACATAGCTCCTGTTTCTACCTGTGAGAAAGGAGTGAGCCCATGCTCCTGAAGTCCTGCTTTACCCAGAACAAGAGGAAGGAACTCCTGAAGTGTGATGTGCTGAACCAGGGCAGCCATGATATGCCTGGTCTCCTGAAAATATTATCTCCATTAGACACTTTAAAAAGGTTTAACAAGAGACAATACAGTTCAGACCACTTCATTAATTATGTCTCATAAAACGCGTTGGGTCCACCACATTATGGGTACACTAGACGGGCCGGTATGGTAAAGACTAGACTGGCATTCTTTTATTCTGAGAGTCTAGAGGGTAAGAGTCCAGATGCCTAGAGTCACGGAGTTGAGCAGAGTGACCTGATTCTAAAGGGGGGCAGAGTCCAATGCTGAGTGTCCAGATACTTTAAATCTGTGAGTCCCAGATCTAGTCCTCAAATCCTCTTTAAGTAGAATTGTAACTCATGTTTCCCTTTAATTCCGTTTTAATGCAATATTATCTTAATACAGGCCTTGTTGTAAATTTGTGTAAACAAATTTAAGATACAATAATTATCCCATAGGGTCTGCTAAAACTTGATAGCTCGAATTTTTTTTAATATCTTCACCTTGATTCTAAAATTCTAAAGTATTTGTCTACAGCTTGCTGGGTTCTGGACTCTGCACCTGGCAGATTTTTCAGAAAAAGCTGATTTCAATCAATCAATCCATATTGATTAAAGTTTTTTATTTTTGTTAAAAAGCATGTGGGTTTCCCAGGGTCCCATAAAAGAACCATCAATGCCAGAAGACATATGGGGCAATTATCTAACGTAATTGTTGCAGCCAGGTGTGTATTCCCGCTGCTAAAAATTGATCTATAATTTGTTTCAAATAAAGTTTATGTACATAAATTTATATTGAAATGGAATGTGTACCTGAAAGAGAATTTCATCTCCCCAGTGCGGGTTTATCAGGGATAGTTCTTCAGCAATACGGTTATGCTCTCTAGACAATATTTTTAAATATTTATCTTCAGCAATACGGTTATGCTCTCTAGACAATATTTTTAAATATTTATCTTTAGCAATACGGTTATGCTCTCTAGACAATATTTTTAAATATTTATCTTCAGCAATACGGTTATGCTCTCTAGACAATATATTCAACTATAAATCTTCAGCAATACGATTATGCTCTCTAGACAATATATTTAAATATTAATCTTCAGCAATACGGTTATGCTCTCTAGACAATATATTTAACTATTAATCTTCAGCAATACGGTTATGCTCTTTAGACAATATATTCAACTATAAATCTTCAGCAATACGGTTATGCTCTCTAGACAATATATTTAACTATAAATCTTCAGCAATACGGTTATGCTCTCTAGACAATATATTTAACTATAAATCTCCAGCAATAAGGTTATGCTCTCTAGACAATATTTTTAACTATTAATCTTAAAATGAAAAAAATAATGGTCTTTGAGACCAGTGATTCCTACCTAAGCAAAAGTAGATGAATTAGAGCTAGAACTGTCTGTTCGCTGGACCTAAATTAATTTCAGGATTTTCAATAATTTGAATGTTGGAATATTTGCACATTTGGATATTTTCTTTTTGAACTTGGATTTTTGGATTAAGCTAGAAAATTTTTCAGTTTTTAGATTTTTAGATATTTGGAATTGTGCATGTTTAGATGGGTGTTTATTTTGCTATTTGGTTTTTGGAGATGTGGATAATGGAATATTTGTATTATATGGAATATTTGAATAATGAAATATTTGAATAATGAACTATTTGAATAATGGAATATTTGAATAATGGAATATTTGAATAATGTAATGTTTTTACAATGGAATATTTGAATAATGAAATATTTGTATAATGTAATGTTTGTATAATGGAATATTTGAATAATGGAATATTTGTATAATGGAATATTTGTATTATGGAATATTTGTATAATGTAATATTTGTATAATGGAATATTTGTATAATGGAATATTTGAATAATGGAATATTTGAATAATGTAATGTTTTTACAATGGAATATTTGAATAATGAAATATTTGAATAATGTAATGATTGTACAATGGAATATTTTAAAAATGGAATATTTGTATAATGGAATATTTGTATTATGGAATATTTGTATTATGTTATATTTGTATAATGTAATCTTTGTATAATGTAATATTTGTATAATGAAATATTTGTATAATATAATATTTGTATAATGTAATATTTGTGTAATGTAATATTTGTATAATATAATCTTTGTATAATGTAATATTTGTATAATGTAATATTTGTATAATGGAATATTTGTATAATGGAATATTTGTATAATGGAATATTTGTATTATGGAATATTTGTATTATGGAATATTTGTATAATGTAATATTTGTATAAGGAAATATTTTAACAATGCAATATTTGTATAATGTAATATTTAGATAATGGAATATTTGTATAATGTAATATTTGTATAATGTAATATTTGGATAATTGAATATTTGTAGAATGGAATATTTGAATGATGTAATATTTGAATAATGGAATATTTGAATAATGGGATATTTGTAGAATGGAATATTTGTATTATGGAATTTTTGTATAATGTAATATTTGTATAATGGAATATTTGTATAATATAATATTTGTATAATGTAATATTTGTGTAATTTAATATTTGTATGATATAATATTTGTATAATGTAATATTTGTATAATGAAATATTTTAACAATGTAATATTTGTATAATGTAATATTTGTATAATGGAATATTTTTATAATGGAATATTTGTATTATGGAATATTTGTATTACGGAATATTTGTATAATGTAATATTTGTATAAGGAAATATTTTAACAATGTAATATTTGCATATTGTAATATTTAGATAATGGAATATTTGTATAATGTAATATTTTTATAATGTAATATTTTTATAATGTAATATTTGGATAATTGAATATTTGTAGAATGGAATATTTGAATGATGTAATGTTTGAATGATGTAATATTTGTATAATGGAATATCCGTATAATGGAATATTTGTATAATGTAATATTTGTATAATGGAATATTTTAACAATGTAATATTTGTATCATAAAATATTTGGATAATGAAATATTTGTATAATGAAATATTTGTATAATGGAATATTTTAACAATGTAATATTTGTTTAATAAAAAATTTGGATAATGGAATATTTGTATAAGGGAATATTTGTATAATGGAATATTTGTATAATGTAATATTTGTATAATGGAATATTTGCATAATGTAATATTTGTATACTGTAATATTTGTATAACGTAATATTTGTATAATGGAATATTTGTATAAAGAAATATTTGTATAATGGAATATTTGTAAAAATAAATGTTTTATAATGGAATATTTGTATAATGGAATATTTGTATAATGTAATATTTGTATACTGTAATATTTGTATATAACGTAATATTTGTATAATGGAATATTTGTATAAAGAAATATTTGTATAATGGAATATTTGTATTATGGAATATTTGTATAATGAAATATTTTAACAATTTAATATTTGTATAATGTAATATTTGTATAATGTAATATTTGTATAATGGAATATTTGTATAATGTAATATTTATTTTCAACTCTAAGTTTAACGTCAAACCCGGCTTTCCTTTTTATTTATGTATTTGAATAAAAACTTTGATGCATCTAATCTCAGAATCTTGAGATTTAGAAGTTTGTGTTTGTGAGGGGGCCATATTTATATTTTGCTATTATTGGTTTAAAGGTTTACCTTTGATCTCCTGTAAGAAAGCAGAAGAATTCTCTACTGGGTCTAGAATTCAGTTCATTTTCAAATATTTTGAACTTTTTAGTTGTTTTTAGGAACTTTAGAAATATATTTCGGTTTTTTTAAGGCAGGGGGGAAGGAGGAGGGCTAAATATATTTAGGGACTAGACACTGAACAAGCGATAGTTTTAAAGGATCTACATTGCTAAGGATACACCTTATGTTTTTTTAGGGATAAGGAGGAGAACACTGCTATTCAAACATTATAGGGAACTGCAGCTTAAAAGCAACACATTTAAGGAACTGCATAATCAAAGCTACGCAATCATTTTTAACAACTGCATACTGATGAACAACACATTTTTGGGGACGTAAATAAGCGGCTATCCTCTAAAATTCCTAAAATTGCTGAATTTCATCATTGAAATAAAAAAAATCATTGTAACAATTGGAGAAAAGCCGGGAATGCATTTTTTAAATGTATTTTTTAATTTTTAAGAATGAAATTTTTTAAGTGAACGTTTCCCTGATACAACCACGGTTTGGATTATCCAGGTTCAGCGGAAGCAGATCCTAAAAGGAATTTAGTCTTTGTCACAAAACTCTGATATTCTAATTCCTAACTCTCTGCAACCCAATGTCATAAACCTTAGATATGTCAAACTATGAATTCTCTTAGATCAAAACGTCTTATAGTTTGAAATATCAAAGATTTACACCACCAGGTTGCAATGATATCGAGATTAGAAAAGTTGAGTTTGTGTTATAACTCATTTTCTTTAAAATATATTGTTATTTTCTAAATTATGCTTTTTCCTCCTGTGTGTTCTATTATATATTACTTTGTTTGCAAGCTATCATTAAACCATTTTTAAAAATTTTTAATATAATGATAAAGCATTCTGACGGAGAGGGAGGGGAGGGTCAAAAAGAATATTAAAGAAAATTAGTAATAGTTTATAGTAGAAACCTTAAAATCGAATTGATATCAAATTCGTTGGTTCACCTTTAATCCAAGATCTGAGAACGCAGGGAGAGTTTTCATCTGTCCTCCGCTATACGTTCTTAGTTTTCTAAACAAACGTTTTACACATAATTTCGAACAGTCGAAGAGAATTATCTATAATTTATTAAATAGTCTTACTTTCTAAATCTTTTTATTTTGATATTCTAGTTTTTCATAATAGTTTTTTTTAAGATTTAACTTTTTACTTTTCTAAACTTTATCTTTAAAGGAACAGTAGACGACATTTAAGTGACCCTCCATGCACGATTCACAACGGTACCCTTAAAGTTTTTTTCTGGTAACAAAATATCGACGTTTCCCATTTTGAAAAGTGTTAATTACTGACAATTTTCCATAATGTTTCTTCTCGCATAAATCCACTTTTACAGACATATGTCACTCTTTAAATGTTAGGGAACTAAAATCCTTTTTTAATTTTAGGCTTTTGATATTTTTAACTTTTAAATATTTATATCAAATTCTTATTTGAAATGCGAAAGTTTCAATTTTAACAAATAATTCTACTTTGAAGAGATTTTCTAAATGAAAGGTTTTCATTGCTTTTCAAACTAACTAACCATGATGTTTAGTTTAAAAAATACAAATAAAATCTTAATTGTTTACCTCAAAACTTCTTCTTCGTTAGAATAAACAGTGTTTGCATCCAGAGTAGCACTCACCTAGTTAATTTTGTAATTAAAGGGAGTGTTCAGATCAAACAGTTAATTTTCAGTGAGAATATTCAAATTAAAGGGAGTGTTCAGATCAAAAAAATAAGGAATAAAGTGCGAATATCATATTAAAGGGATTGTTCAGAAAAGGAGTATAGTGCAAATAATCATATATTAAAGGGAGTGTTCAGAAAAGGAGTATAGTGCAAATAATCATATATTAAAGGGAGTGTTCAGAAAAAAAGTATGGGAGTATATTGAAAATTATCATATTAAAGGGAGTGGTCAGAACACGAGTATAGTGCGAATAATCATATTAAAGGGAGTGTTCAGAAAAACAGTATTGGAGTATAATGAAAATAATCATATTAAAGGGAGTAGTCAGAAAAATTTGATAAGAATTACAGCGTGAATTGTCATTTTAAAGAGAGTGTTTGGGAAAAAAAGTTTGAGAGGTACTGTGACAGGTTTTGAAGAATTTTTAAATTAAAGAGAATGCTCAGAAAACATTTAAGGGGTAGAGTGAAAATTTAAGGGAGTGTTCAGAAAATAGTTTACAAGGAGAATTTTATTAAATAGAAAATCACCAAATCTAATATTTTTTCAAATTTATTTCTCTGTATCTTGTACAAGCAAGGATTTTTTACATTTTAAAGGTATGTTCCAGGAGAATGTAATTGAAGCCAAACTGCTATAAAGTTTTTTTTAACTTCAACCTGTTTAAATTAAATAATATTTTATAGCGGATTTTTTTTACTTAGAATATGTGAATCTGATCTGAATCACTTTTTGATGAAATATTCTTGGATTTTTCTAATTTGTAAATGTATTCGGAAAATAAATTTAAATTTTGAATTTCTATATTTTGATGTTCATTCGGAAATTTCTTTTAAAACTTTTCCAATTTTTAGCAATTATTTAAAAAGTTTTATAAAATTTGAATACTGTCAGAACTTGATAAAACTTGAAGAAATTTTTAACTTTTTAAATCAGAAGTTTTTAAAACATTCTTTCAGAAAAGCTTGAAATCTAATTTTATAAAAAGTAATAAATGCAAGTTCATAATGCACTAAATCCCCAAACAAGATTTTAAAAAAATAATCTTTTGAGTTACAATCAGACTCTTTTGAGCTTTTAAAATTACCAAAGATATTTGCGATTTCGTTTAAAAAAAATAAAACTTAGATTGCCGAGGCAGCCATGGTTTAACTTTCTTGTTGGATGATTTATTTTTCTATGTGGAAGTTCAGTCTAGGTTTCCATGCAGTATACGATATACTCTGTATGAGATTGATGAAAGGCTAGATGAGTAAAATAGGAGGGATGGGGGGGGGGGTTTACCAGGTTGAACTGTTCTCTAGGTCCTAGTCTGCATCCTGGTCTGAGTCCAGCTCTGGATCTGATAAAATGCATGCAGCCCTGGTTGTGCCTCGAGTAGAAGGAATCCCGTTCAGAAATCTAAATTCATTCAATAATTAATAAGTTTCCAAGAAATACACAAGTCACTTTTGCAGAAAACCCAAAATAAACAAAAAAGTTAAAATCTAATTCATACTTGACCATGGAAAATATTTAAGGGTACCGTTGTAAATCGGGTATTGCCATCTTTGAAAGTATAGTTTACTTGAAATTACGTATACAATCCCTTTCATAGTTTTAAAGGTTAATTAATCAACTGTTTAGTCTGAACTTTAAATATTCTTCTTTTGTATTCTTAAATGAGTAAGACGGGAGTCCCCCCCCCCATATGAAAACGTCAAATCACATGACAAGGTCATATTCAGTTACATAGGGATAGGAGTGTAGCCTGGTTGGTGGGGTTACATGCATAATTTCAAAAACTAGGGACAATAATCTTAAGTTGAAGTGATCTTCCATTCAAAGATAGCAATTACAATTGATAATAATCCGTTTTTAAAATGATAAACATTGATATCTATGTAATTCATACTAGACTGAATATAGTTTGAATACCTGGATTGGCATACAGCTAGGATGGGTGGTGTTGGGACCTACAAAACAGAATTAGAAATAAGTTAATACAAGAATATTTTAAGACGAAAGTTATGGAAACCTCGGTAAGATGGCAGACGATTAAAAGATCTCTTGTCATTATTTCGTATTATATTCTGGTTTCACCGTTCAAGTGATCAATAAAATATATTTTTCATAAGCGATTTTTTGCCCTTAAAAATTTCTGGGAGCGTTACACTATAGCATATCTAAAAAAAAGAGGAAGAAACGACTTTTTTGATATAAAACTACCTAAGAACTCACGAAAATGACTGAAAATAAGATTTTTTTTGCAGTAAATAATTTAAAAAATCTTCTTTGGGTTGATTTTTTATTTATATCTAAAAGATACAGGGTTGCCCACAAAGGATGAGACTGTAAAGGCGACCTAAAACTCATAGAATATGACGATCCCAAGTCTTCTTCCTTACATAGAGTCTTTTCATAGCTTCGGCAAAGAAAGAAATACGTTTCTAATCATGAAAATGAGGAATATCCTTTGTAGGGTAACCCTGTATTAAAATTATAGCGTTTAATGTCTTTACAGCTAGGAAAGCTAACCGGGAATTAAAAGTAGAAAAAGTATCTTTTTCAATTTCCCGAAAAAGTAGTAGTACACAATTTTATTGTCTATTGAGATGAAAATACGTGAATTTTGTCCTGAAAACTTCGCAGAGCGGCCAAGGGACGTTATATGACATCATAAGCTCCCACTGATGGGGGAATCATATGTCGATAATGTTGTTCAAAAGGTAAAAAATATTATACCTGAGCAGCATCTTATATTTTCTGTTTCAGCAGTTAGGGTCATGTCGTGATCTAGAAAATAATTAAAATAAATTTGTTTAATATAATTATAAAGATTGGACTTTTTCAGAAAGTTTTGGCTCCGAGAAGACGACATTGAAATTCCCCTTGATTATTTTATTATATTACGACAACAAGAAAGTTTTACGAAAATATAAGTCCGAATCTTTCCCTCCGTAATTTTTGCAAACATAAGACGTCTTCACTTACTCACGGTGAAACACGACTCCTCTCGGCGAAAACAAATAGAAAGCATGTTAAATTAGATGATGTGCTGACATACTGTACTGTGGAAATTAGAATAGCAAAGAAAAATTTATTTCAAAGTTTAGCAGAGTAGCTTTTCCTAAGGATTAGTTATATGGAGATTTTAAAATCTTATCTTTATCTCGATATCTATTGTGGACACTTTAAATATTAGGATCAATGCTTATGTGATCCCTGAATTAAAATAACCCCTTGGAGGTATGACATGCATCATAAGATATTAATTCTGAAATTCTTAGCTCGGATCGGACTTATAAACATTTTTGCCAAACCTATCAGCTACAGATTTTATCTATACAATGAAGACGACTTTCGATTGCAATATTGATTAAAATTAAGCTGCTGCAGCATGTGTCAACACATAAAGATACACATAAAGAATTATCATCAAATAATAGAATAGATCAATTCAAAAAGCTCCTCTTTGATTACTTGTAAACTTGTAATTCAAAAAAATGTTAACAATCAAAGCTTTAATAAGAAAGTCGTCTTCATTGTATTGTTATAATCGCTTACCACTGTAGTTGTAACAGTTACAAATACAAAATATTAAATGAAAGAAGAACAAAGACGACAATTATGGGATATTACTGTAGTATGAATAAAAATTACCAATGAACTGTCCCCATGCAATAAGAAGAATATTTATAGAATGTTCATGAACGTTCTCATCTCTATGCATCAAAGCAGAAACCTGAACAATAACATCAGTGATAAACATTTTATATAGGGAAGTTATACTAGAGGAAAAGGTTGAAAATTAATTAAACAATGAATCTTAGTTTATTTGTCCAGATTCTCACGGTAAAGTTTAATCGAACCAGAAAATAATTTTACACAAAAAAAGATAGACACGATTGCTTATGATGAATTTACAATTTTGCAGATCTTGAACATTAACAAAGACATTATAAAATTAAATTAAAGATCTAGATAAATACAGGTCTAGTTTATGGTGCAGCCTCTAATAAAATCCTCATGTTAAATGGACTTCCTGCAATAATACTAATTAAAGATTAAGAGTTCATGGTCATAAAGCTCAATACAATCTTAAACAATGCACGGTGTGGGCCTGTTTATTAACTTCCGGGTTAAATATCAGACAACTTTTAAACCCATTTCAGCCAAGTCACATAAATATATGTATCTAAACTTTGTAATACTTACTTTTTAAATAAAAGCATTTCTTCAATAAAATGTTAAACCAATATACGTACGCTCTAAATTATGTCCATTTGATGCATTTAACCAAGCCATTGGAAAATAAAATTTAAAATTTTCAAAAATCTTGAGTGTAATTTAGAAAACCAAACATATTTACAAGTTTGCAAAACAGTTTGGCAAAATTTGGACTTCCTGCTTTATTTTGTCACAGGCATCAGAAGAGGTAAACAACCAGAAGTGGAAAAAAATTAGGCAGAATGCCTGGGTATTATTAAAAATTAATATTTTTTTGAAACACTCATGGGGGGGGGTCCGGGGGTCATGTCCCCTCCTCCCACTGTCCCTTATAACTATATCTACTAATTATAACCAAAATAATGTATACAATGATTAATGTTCGTCGAAAAAAACGTGTTTTCTCTTGATATGATTGCTTTAATATGTTTAATACCATGTGATGATAAGAATTCTCCTCTTTTATATCTTTGGAAGCTTAAATTCTAAAATGTCAGAATTCACTGAACCATTAGATCGTTTACTGGCATTTGTACATAATTCTTTCACTTAATGAATAATTGCCAGGTTGCCCCCCCCCCCCCTCCCTCCCTTATAATGTATACTTTTTATAGCTATAATTTATCTATATGAAGTACTTTGGAAAATACCGGACTAATCTTCAGTCCTTTGATTCCAATATGGACTTGTGGACTTGAAACATCAATATGTCCTGAAGTGGTAATATGAACTACTGTTGACTAATTTGGACGCACTACTATAGGGTTAGAGAACCACCTATAATTTGCACCTAAATGGAGTGTCGTTGAAATTTTAAGTCCCAGGAAACATTTAAACTAACACCCATACTAAATATTCCGATAACGAAGGTGTCAGGCAAATAATTCTGGACTTTTGATGTTCGGAGACTGAATATTTTCAGGGTTAAACCTCAAAAGAAAAAAGGGGCAAACCGGATTCACAATGGGAATATTGTATCTCATTAATAATCCAAAAATCACTTCTACAGAGAACCCGAAATTAAAAATAATCTAGAAAGGAGACCAGGGAGAATTCCATCATATTTGCTTAGGTAGAGGTTTAAAGGGCACCATTGTGTATCTGACTTACCCCTTTATAAATTGAATCGGTGGATCACTTGTCTTCATGTACCTTTATAATCGACCATAAGAATCTTAAAGGTAAAATTAAGAAGGAAATACAGAAACTGGTTTTATTTCTGTTTATTAACATTTTGTATGATGACCTTTCAACCATTAACAGTTGAAATTTGCCCTTTAAAGATCTTGTAATTGCCTACCACAAAATATTTTAAAAATACAGATAGTTAAATATATGGTCTCCATCATAAAACATCCATAGCTTGTTGGCATTAAAGAAAAAGAATGAAATCTAATTTTCATAATTCTTAAAATCAAATTCAGATATTGATTTACCTCTCTGGGAGATGGAAGGGGGTGACCTAAACGGGCAAAACTATTTTTAAACAAGAAAAACTTTTTAAAAAAATTACTCTCTAAGAATTAAAAGGGTTTTTGTATGCTGTTACAATTTAATTTGACATAAATACATTATTCACTTACCATAGAAATATAAAAATTGATTTCGATTTAAACAAGAAATAAAAATTAGAAAATTAGAGTTTGAGGCTAGTTTTTAGACTCTGTAATGCAAAATATTGATTATTTTCGAAATAAAAAATAGTTTTCCTGAAACTGATCTTCTCGGCTCTGCAATACCGTCTGCGTAGGCGTAAGGGAGAAACCTTGAACAAATAAGTTTAAATATAAAGAAATTGAGTTTTTTAGCCAGAAACTCAGATTTTATAATCCCTTTATCTTTACAACCCGATTTCGTAGACCTTTGATATTTCAAACTATAAATTCAAGTAGTATAGGTTTGAAATATCAAAGGTGTATACAAACAGGTTGTAAAAATTTAGGAATTAGAAAATTTGTGTTTGTGGCAAAAACTCAATTCCTTTCAAAGAATGAAAGCTTCTGAAAAGGGAAAAAATCTGCTATGTGAATTCAAAGGATCATTGATTATTCTATTTTTTCGCGCAAGGGTTTGTAGTTGTACAACCCCATTCTACATTAAGAGGGAAAATAACCATTATTACTTTATACAATTACAAATTTTACCATATTTTTATATTAAAGGGACTGTTACCGTAGTTTCAAGTGACCCTCCATGCAAAGATGGAAATGCCCGATTTACAACAATACCCTTGACACCTAAATCTGATCTAAACGTCGTTTTTCTGATTTGAAAAGTGTGAATTTCCCTGCAGTTGCTTCTTAAAAGAAAGAAATGTGCAAGTCACTTTGCATAGAAATCGCAAATAAAAAACAGTTTCAAGAAACAAAAACATGGATATCTTATTCATACTTGACCAGACAAAGTTTTTAAGGGTACCGTTGTAAATCGGGCATTGCGCTTACGGTCCCTTTAATATTTAGATATTTAGAACCTTCGACGTAATTTGTTTTTTCTTCCAATACTTGTAAAAAAAATCTTAATGTCAGGCGAAAAAACGTTTTAGATGATTGATGATAGATATGATGTTAGTTAAAAAAGCATATTTTTTCTCAATCTTGACACCAAAAGAAAAAAATTATACACAAATAGATTCTAATAACAATAGATGGCAACGTAGACTTTGTACACTCTCAGTACAGCTGTATTCTTACGTCACCGGTGTCAACTCAGTTTTTGTGTCCGACAAGATTATTAATAATAGTAATATAATTGAGACTAAAGTGGTTATCTTAGTCTTACAGTAAAATTAGTGAAAATGCATGTGTTCTTTATTTTCTGTTTTTACACTTTTTTATTCAATCTTGAAAACATGTCAACTGATGTGAGAACATTTCGTTTTCCTTGTTATATTTGACACTTGTGACGTCGTGTATAATTGGTCCATTTCTTTGTTGCCGCCTACTGTACTTGATAATCTATTTGAAAAATACTGAATGATGTACAATACTGCTGTTGCACATATAAAACGTGTGTAAGTGTATTTAACATAATAAGATAAGGTTTATAAGAGAACTAGGTTCGGAATCCAGCGCTGCCCAGGTAACTAAAAGTTACTCCCGCACTTTACGATTTTACAGGAAAATTTAATTTTTGCTATTAAAGTCGAACCACTCAACTTAAAATTTCAAATCTAAGCTAAGGACATTCCCGTGGCTCTCCCAAGTTCCCCAATCAAAATTTGAGGCACATCTGTCCAGGGGTTCCTGAGTTATGATTATAAAAACAACGTGTGATTAATTGGATGGTTTTCCAAAAAATAGTTGAAAACATTTATCTAAAGCTCAGTTTCTTCTTTCTCTATTTTATTTTTCTGTTTTATGCGGTAAAACGTATATTTTAAAACATATAAAAACATTCCGAACCTGCTAAAGGCCATCATCGAGGATCCCCAAAGAGGATTCTCCAAATTATTACAGGTTCCATCCAACGATCTGTATCGGGCCAGAGAACAGTCCCTTTAAGTATATTTTTGAGAATATAGTAAATCGTAAACAGGATCCCAGAGTTTTTTAAAAACAGGAAATTGCAAATTACAAAGCAAATAACTTTCTTGAAAATTCCTGGCTCACAAATATGTATATGATATATAAATAATAAATATATAATCAATTTAATATTCAATCAAAAAAAATTTATATCATCATATCTATATATATATATATATATTGTTCAAAGAACTTTTAATACTGAGGATCGTCATGAAATGTGAAACATTTTTAGTATAATTCTTTTTTGATAAAATGTGAAGTTTAAAAACTCCAATATATATACATGCATCCATATATACAGGGTGTGAAATTTTTCTGAAACAATTTTACAGAAGCAAAAAAGTATTCTACTAGGAATATTAAGACATGTTTATAAAATATATTTTACATAATGGGGATTAATATTTAAAAAGTCACTAGTATAAGTGAAAATGAAAATTTTGAAATACTTATTGAATTGGGTATCATTGAAACCGAATTAAATTTCTGAATTCGAATCAATTTACAGGATCGAAAAATATTTAAATTTGACTGAGTAAGGTCAAAAAAGACATTTTTTAGTACTATAATGAAAACTTTTTTTGACCATAACTTGCCCAATTTTAATTATTTTTCAATTCTGTAAATTGTTTTGGTTCAATGGATACCCATATTATTAAGATTGTCAAATTTTTCATTTTCGCTAACACATTTTTAAATTTTGTGAAAAATGTATTTTATAAACATGCCTTAGAATTCCAAGCGGAATACTATTTTGCTTCTGTAAAATGATTTCAGAAAAGTTTCACTAGATTTCACACCCCTAATATATATGTAACGCACATACCGGTAAATGATCGTTTTTGGTTCATTTTTGATTCGTTTATGGGTTTTCTTCTTATTATTATTTTCAGTCCAATAAATGAATATTTTCAAACCTGTTCGCAATTTCATTATTTCATAATTCTTTAAATTATGTTGATTTTTTTTTATTTTTTTATTTTTCTAGCCATGTGTTATGATTGTGTGGTGCTTACATTTGATTTTAAAGTGAAAAAAAAATTGACCCTTTTTCTTTAAGCAACACTCAAAAGCGTTTTTAAAACTCACGACAATGACCATTTTCGTTTCCATTTTGTTCTTCTTTGTAAATCTTAAAATCTTACTTTTTAAGAAGAGCTGTGGGACAGAATCCGTTAATACTTGTTCTAGTTGTATCAATCAGACTTATACGCTCAAACAGTGCTTTACTATCCAGTCCGTATCTCTGAACAAGTAAGAAATATTATTGAAAATGATTCAGAAAATGTTTAGTAAGTTCATAAATATATGTTAAATGTATTTAAAGAATAAATAAGATAAAGTGCTTCAAAAACAGTCTTAGAGGAATCATGTCTCACCTATATATTTGCAACCTGATGGTGCAAACCATTAATATTACAAGCTTAGAATATTTAATCTTATAGACTTCGTTATAGTTTGAAATATCTAAGGTCTATACGACAAGCTGGGTTGAAAAGTTAAAAGGATAATAAAACCAGAGCTTCCTTTCAACTTATACATTTCCATTTTTGCCATTTGCTTTTTTACTATCAAGGTTATTTTAGTATTTACAAGGTTTGCTTATGTGTATAATTTTAATCCACAAAGCAAAGAAATTGAGTCTTTGTCAAAAACTTTAATACCTATATCTTTACAAAGATCATAAAAGTGGCGTTTCAGATGAACGTTGAAAAACAAAACAAAAACAAATTTATTCAGATATTTTACAAAAGAAAGTTGAAAGAATTTTTGTAAAATCTAATTTCAAATAGAAAAAGATATATCTGCAAAATGAATAAAATATTCTTTGAACTTTTGATTTGTACGAATGCATTTTCCCGTCAATAATAAAATGGACTTGTAGTAAGGACTTGATTTGCCTCAAGCTAAAAACCTTTAGCATCTGCATTCGAATTGACCTTAAAATCTGCACATTGCAGTTTGCGCACTCAAAGGTGGGTTTAGATAAAGGAGATGCAGTTGCATTTTAGGATTATCCAGTTCTTAAAATTCATTCAAGGTCGTGAGCGCATTCAAATGCGGATTTTAGGAAATAAATTGCGCGCTTTATTTTCATCATAAAAGACAATTAAAAATATTCCATTATTGAATGAATTATACAATTATTTGGAAGAAATATTTTCAGTGATTCATGCTATTCTGTAGGTTATAAAACTGTGTTTTGTTTTGAATTGTTGAATATTTCCAAATTATGGATTGTTTCAAAAATTGGGTTCCAAAACGCGTCCAAGATTCGAATTTGTAAAATATGCAAACATGGAACATCTTGAATTGTTTCAAAGATGGTTTCTCTCACAGTTTTAATTTTAGAAAAGAAAATAGTGTTATTTGTAGCTCTTGTCGTGCTTAATAATATGTTGGAAATAGTTTCTTTAATGTCTATTTGCTCTCGGCACAGGAAGAGTTACTAAACCGTTGATCATAATATGTGTACCCAAACCTGACACTCAGTGTCAGATTTGGAACATAAACTTGATTTGGAACTGTCTTCCCCTGCATTTTAAATGTAAAGTATTGACAGTTGTCTTCACTATTTGATGGAAAAATGATATTCAAAATGTTGCTGGGTCATCAAGATAACAATTATTTCTTAACTCAAGTTACAGCATTACAATGTCCGTCTTCTGAAATATAGTAATTTTCAAATCCCTATATCTTTGTAAACTGATGGTGTAAACCCTTGATATTTAAAACTTAGATTATTTGATCTAACAGTATAGATAGTTTGAAATTTCTAGGATACGACATTATGTTGCAAATAAATAGGGATTCGAAAATTGGATTATGTGGCAAAAACTCAGTTTCTGTAAACTCAAAATAATTTAGCTTTATTTAAGTCTAAGAGCTGGAAAGATTACAGGATAGTAATAACTGCAACAAATCTGAGAAACAAGTCGATTAACCTTAAATCTCGACTTTAAACATTGAAATGTCATGTTTCTCACAGTATATGTACATGCTTTACGCTTCAATTCACCTTAAATCAGAATTGGCATAAAATGAGATTTACTTTTTGAATTTATTCTGAAAACATTTCAAATTTAGGTGACATCTCACATCTGCAAGTTTAATCAAATAAAATCCAGTTTTTTTCGGAATCATAGAGCAACCACAGTTAAAATTATTATGATTAGTATTTTTGTAAAAAACAGTTAATATCGGAATTCATTGTTTTCCTTGATACGTTTCAGTATTAATTCAGTATTATTTCAGTATTAATTCAGTATTCATTCGGATACTTCGAGAAAGTACTTTAAATATTTTTTCTAAATCGTCTCTGTTAAAAAGATCAAACCAATTATCATATTATACAATTAAACCAATGTTGTCCTTGAATGCGCGCATACTAATTACAGCATCAACATTTAACGTTATACTCTGCACAGCGCGTCCAAGCGCATAAACAAACAAAAATAATGTATTTTCCTTCAATTAAAAATAATTTAAAGGGACTCCCGACGTACTTTCAGATTTTATTTAAAGGGACAATTCAGATTTACAATTCGATACCTTTCAAATGTTCAGCTGAGCAAATATGAAAAAGAAAACTTTTGTTTTTCTTTCTGAAAATTAAAAAATGTTCAAAAACAAAGCAGGAAATTCTCAGAATCTAACAGTTTTCAAAGAAAAAACAATTGATATCTTCCTCATTGTAGGGTATATATATTTAGGGTATATATCGGGTATTCAACTCTTTAAACTGGGGCCCGCTTGAAAATACGGTTTCTTTAAGAGAAAAAAACTAATAATAAAAACATACCCATCTGTTTGGGAGTGTAATTTCAAAGAGAATAAAGAATATATTTGCAAAAATAATGGATTTTACAAAAGACCTTCTTGAAATCCAATTTTGTTTGAACCTTACTTCAATCAGAAATTACGAAGAATTTAGTTCTTTCATCCGATAAAAGGGAGGCAAGAGGTTGAATTAACTACAACAACTAACGTCATAGATATTTAGAATAAAAATTCTCTATCCTCATTTTACTTCTGCAGGATAATTGACCAGGAAATTTAAACTCCTTCTTATCTATTAGCCCTGCACGTGACTATAAAATTGTATTTAAAACATATTTTTAAATGTTAAATTACTTACAATACATGTGTCATGAATACAACAGTTTTAGTATCATACTGTATCCTGTCAGAATCCCCTTTCTGTATCCCTGTATCCTGTATGTATATTTTCATCTCTATGTATCCCTTATGTAAGTAGCTGTATCCCTTGTGTATGTATTTCTGTATCCCCTTTGATAAGTTACCCTGTATCATTTGTATGGTCAGAATTCTTGTACCTCCTTTGATATGTACCCCTGTATTTCCTATGATATGTATACATGTAGATATATATCCCTGTATCACCTATGATATATATCCCTGTATCACCTATGATATATATCCCTGTATCACCTATGATATGTATCCCTGTATCACCTATGATATGTATCCCTGTATCACCTGAGCTAGTATCCTAGTTGTCTCCTGTATCACTACACCTAGATTATGAACTTCATCTCTGTCGAAACTCCCTGATCTCGGGGACTTCAAGGGAATCTAGAATGCATGTCGTAGAAATCTAGATTTTGTCGTTTTTATGCTAAAATAAGTGGAACTAAAATACTGGAGTTTTGTGAAAAAAGGATAAATTTTAATAATAATAAATTATAAAGAATTGTAAAAATTGTAATAATATTAATCTGTTTGTGGGTTTTTTATAAGAGGATTAAAAACAAAACAAAAATAGTTGAAAATATAATGATTTAAATGCAATAATTAATGTAGATTCATAGTTGATGGTAAATCTATATGAATAATTTGCTTGTCTGTCTGTTTGTATTTTTGTATGTAAATCCAGTAAACGCCATAACTGTTAAACCGATAGGTTCAATTTGAAACATTTTGCCTGGATAATGCATAAAGGAATTGAGTTCTTGCCACAAACTCTGATGTTCTAATCCTAATATCTCTGCCATCCAATGCCGTAGACCTTACATATTTCAAACTATAAATTCTGTTAGATCAAATAATCTAAGTTTGAAATGTCTAAGGTTTTCGTCATAAGGTTTGACATATATAGGGATTAGAAAATTCGAGTTTGTTGCAAAGACTTAACTCCTTTAAACTGAAAAATCCTCCAAAATATTTGTCTATTGCAGAGTACGATGAAAAATAGAGACTTGAAAGACATCAGTATAAGATAAAATTCTTCTTGGAAAAGGGTTGCAATCTGCCTGAAAAGGGTTGCAATCTGCCTGAAAGGTCAAAATCCCCCTGAAGAAGTTTATTACCCTCACTACTGAGTCTCTTGCTGTAACGAATGCTTCACTAATCTCTGTGTATGTAATACATGTGTTGGACAATTCTGAAAATAGGAAAGTATGATCAATTAGATTCTCAAAAATACATTTGTTTACGATCAAACATTACCTAAAGCACAATCTGAGTTTCCCTGTGGAGAGGCACCACCGCGCTGGGGCTGTGATGCCTAAATTAGCACAATTTTATAGGTTTTAAAAATATCCTCCAAAAACAATAATTGTTCTATTATACATGCGCGCATTAAATTCAAGATGATTAAAATTAAGTTCCAATATCTATAATTTTCGATTTATTTTCTACTGGCTGAAGGGCCCGTTTCCCGTGAAAAAAATTTTGAAAAATGATATTTTGAAAAAAAAATATATTTGAAAAAAAAAGTTCAAATTTTTATTGTAACACTCCCAATCACCCATGAGTGTCCACAAAAAATGTCAGCCCAATCGGTCCAGACGTTTGGCCGGCTATAGACAACATATATATACAAATGTCTTGTTTTATTATATAGATATAATAAAACAAGACATTCGGATAATGGAATTTTTTTTTTAATATGTAGATACCTGTAGTCTCTGGCTCGGTAGATCAACAAAGTTACTAAAATCTCGTTCATTAGACCCTGAAATATATAACAATATCTAATAATGTACGACGATATATAACAATGTATAACAATATATAACAATATATAACAATATCTAATAATGTACGACGATATATAACAATGTATAACAATATATAACAATATATAACAATATCTAATAATGTACGACGATATATAACAATGTATAACAATATATAACAATATATAACAATATCTAATAACATATGACAATATTTAATAATATATAACAATAAATAACAATCTTTAATAATATATAACAATATATAACAACAATAAACATATATATTACACTACTAGCTGAATTACCCGACGTTGCCAGTGAAATAAAAAATTTCATCTTTTTTTAGCAATGGGTCCCCATAAAAAATTTAGGCCCATTCGGTCCAGCTGTTTGGCCGGCTATAGTGAACATATATTCAAATGTCGTTTTATTATATAGATATTATAATAACTAGCTTTGAAAGCCAGCTTTGCTGACGGAAATTCCCGTGGTTCTCAAAAGCTATCTAACCAAAATTTGAGGCAAATTGGTCAATGTGTCCTAAGTTATGATGGGACATACAAACAAACAAATATTTCTACTTTATATGCATAGATATGTGACAAAATATAACAATATATAATACATACATTTTACAATATTCAAGATACAAGTACCAAGCTAGTAGAGTAGACTTAAGAAAATATGATTAAAGATACGATACATCATTATATTTTCTTTATAAAAGTATTATAAGTGGTATTATACTGAGATTGGTTTCAATCATGTTTACAAATAATATTTTGGATCTTAAATGTTCCATGAACAATCATTTAGAAGTTGTGAACGTGACTGAAAATTAATAATATCTCCGCCGAGGCATTCCTAAAAATCAAGTCCTGGATATCGACAACACAAATGAGAACCACAATGCTCAGGATTTTATTTTCAAATATAAAGACTACAAGTCTAAGATGAGCTACTATTGTTAATTTCTTATGATCAAAACGTGTACAAGGGTTTACTTCATTGAAATATAACTTCTTTAAAATCAGAAAAACTGCAACAAAATGGATTCTTAAATTTTTTATTGTCATTGTTTTATTGTCATTGTTTTTAAGAATAAAGGCCTTCAAACATTATTGCATACAATATAACATATTATCATCATCTATTTAAAATTTGTAATTTAAAAAAAAAGTCTATTTACCTCTAAATCTTGTGATGGTTTGAAATGTTCCACGACTATAGAATAGATCAACCATCATTATTATTGATTAATACGTTGTAATCTTTTTCCCTTTTTACTTCTTAAACACTCCTTTCCCTCTTTCATGGGGCTCTTAGAAATTCTGATCTCTTTTCTTCATTCATCTTATCTCTTAATTAACACTTTTTTCATGTGCACTTTTCTTCTTTATTACCTTTTTTATACTGTTTACATCTTTTTTTATACCTCTTTCCTCTTCTTCTAACACTTTTTCTTCTTTTTGAATTTTTCTTTCTTTATTTCATTCCTTTCAAATTTTTCTGATCTGTTTCCCCCGCCTCCCCGAGTCCTTTTAAACAACTTACAATCTTTCAAGTTACTTTTTGGTTCTTTGTAATTGCCAATAACCATTTACTATTTTTTAACATTCCTAAACCCCTCTCTTTACACTCTCCATTTCTTTTCCCTCTTTTCTCTCCCTCCACCTTCCCTTTTCCTCCCCCCTCCACCTCACATTCCAGATCTGCATCTCCCTCCACCTTCCCTCAGACATACACCCCCCCTTCCCTCTTCATCCACCTCCCCTCTCCCCCCCCCCCCTTCTTCCTTCTCTCCCTCCTTCTTGACGAATATTAAGTTTCTGATGTTTGTACCTGAACAAATTCTGTGAGTTCTGAGATAAGGTTGAACCCAGTAGTTCTAGGAGAAACATAAACAACAGAAACATCATTCTCATATCTGATAATAATAATAAAACAAGATCAGATAAACGAGGATTCTGATATCTGATAATAACAATACAACAAGATCAGATAAACGAGAAATCTGGCCTTTTAAAGGGACTGTTAGCGTTATTTCAAGATAAGCACATGCGTGATTTACAACGAAACCATAAACATTTTTTAATTCTGTCCCTTGGTTTCCCTCTCCCTATCAGAGTCTCTCTGACTTGTACCGCTGTGCATCAGGCATTGCCTTCTTTAGATGGAGAGTCACTTGAAAAAACATATTTCGTCCCTTTACAGGTTCTGATGAATATTAAACATGTCTGGTATATAAGAATAAAAACATCTTCAGTCCCTTTACAGGTTCTGATGTATATTAAACATGTCTGGTATAACTATATATAAATTTGGCTTGTCTGTTTGTTTCTATCCAATAAACGTCAAAACGGCTGAACCGATCGGGCCAAAATTTTTTGTGGGACATCTAGGGACCCCAGGGAAGGTTTAGGAATGATTGAAATTTTAAAAATTTGTGTTTAAAAGTTTTTTTATTTTTGTAAAATTTTGAAAATGCGCGAAAAAATATTATGAAATCCGCAAACTTTCTTTGTTTTTGTTTTATACTGTACAAAGAGAAGATGCTCACAGATAAAGCCACAATTAAAAGTTTAAATAGAAGATGGGCGCGAAGCGCCCTAAAAGCCTAGAAAGAATTTCTAGTAAGAATAAAAACATCTTCAGTCCCTTTACAGGTTCTGATGTATATTAAACTGGGGTAAATAATTCCAAAGATAAATGCTAAATCTGAAAAGTACCCCTAGGATTCTTGTGAATAACAATTATCTAATTTGAAGAACTGCTGATAAAAAACGTTGTTAACTTATTTGAAGAATTACTGGAAACTAAAACATAGCTCTGCATGAAAAAGGAAAGAATTTGCAATATGAAAATTTTAAACCAACGTATGACCTTCCCCCCCCACTCATGTCCTCTTATTTATTCCTCATATTTTGCTCCATATTAAATACGTTAACACTAAAACGTTTAGTCTGTGTGAAGTCACGATCTGAAGTTTACGTTTTGTAGTTCTACTCTTCTCTACCCTTGGTTTAACACTAAACCTAGAGCTAAACCTTCAACTCTAGATAAAGGTTCGGTTGAGGACAAATGTNTCCTACTCTCTGCCCTTTACAGCATTGAAATCTCTGGGCTTTTAAGCGCTCTAAAAATCTCACAACCTCGCAACTCTCTCATCATTTTAATGAAAAATATACTTAGAAAACGTAAACATAGAAATATAATCTCCTTTTAATCTATTAGCCCGCTATTGATGTTCCTAAATTGATTGCTAGTTTAGAGAAAAATCACGTTTTTAATCAAAAAAAGATTACTTTTCTGTCAAATCATTTAGTTTACATTTAAAAATAAAGTTCGTCAGATTAAAGTAGCTTAAAGTTATATGGCCTTTTAGGTTAGCCCAATATATCTATATATAAATTTGGCTTGTCTGTCTGTCTGTCTGTTTGGGTGTCTGTCTGTCTGTTTGTATCCAATAAACGTCAAAATGGCTGAACCGATCGGGCCCAAATTTTTTGTGGGACATCTAGGGACCCCAGGGAAGGTTTATGAAAAATCAAAATTTCAAATATTTGTCTCCATCAAAATTCGATCGTCATTAAATTTTTAAAAAATTTTGAAAATCCGCGAAATTTTTTGTGAAAATCCGCGAATTATTTTTGTTTTGTTTTACGATGTACACAAAGAGAACATGTTCACAACTAATTTAGAAGATGGGCGCGAAGCGTCCTCTAAGGCTAGAAAGAAGGGCGCGAAGCGCCTTGAATTTCTAGTATCCTATATTTCTAAAATTGCATAGCTTATTCGTGACAAAGGCCAACAGGTTACAACTGCCGACAAATTTTTTAATATAAATTTTATAATTATAAATTTAATTTTTTAATTATTGTGGCCAACATTTGGGGAAATATAGTATTTCAATAAACTTCTCATGTAGCTATCGGGTTGCAAAGATGTAGGGATTAGAAAATCTGAGTTTTTAACAAAGACTCAATTTGTTTCTCTGAGTCTGAGAGCCTGAGATATTCTGTAAAAATACTATAAATGCAAGAACCTCAAATAGTAAAGTAAAAAAGCAAAACTACTAGCATGGAAACCCAGTTTTGTCTGGAGATTTCTCTAAAAAGTCAAACTTTTTAATTTTAACTTTCTCAATCAAAATTTTAGGCAAAAGGGATTCATTAGTTATAATCGGACGTATACAAACTTTTGTTACTCTGTAACTTTACATCCTCTGTTAATGGTGGATGCCAAAATCTACTACAGTTAATGAGAGAACGAGAGTGGGGTCCACACTTTGTTAATGGTGGATGTCAAATCTACTACGGTCAAAGAAACTACTTAGATACTTTTAATGAATCATTTTATGTATATATAAGTGCGTAAAATGGGTTCCTTTAAATTTTTTTAATATTTTAGAACCTAGACTAATTACTTGTTTTCATCATGTATCAATGTATCATTTACTCTCAGAAAAATGAAAACCAACAGAAATGAAATTGTATTTAATAGGAAGGTTTTTTACAGAAATATAATCAAAGGGCTAAGAAACTTAGCAATTTTTCAAATAATATGCTCGAGATACAATTAAGATTTGAAGAAATACTGATTAATATTTGAAGACGTAGCTTATAGAGTTTTTATTGAATCCCGAATTTAATTGATAATAATTGTTCTGAGAGTAAATGACAAAGAGCTGGACTGGACATGCATTAATAAGTTTACATATTTGCGGGATTCAATGAAAATTGTTGCATACCAAAAAAACAGCTTTTTAGAAAGGAATGCATATTTAGTTGTGATTGCAATATGAAAGTTTGTTTAAACAAATACTCATTGCAGAACAAAATTTATCAATATTATATATTCAATAGACTTATATTTAATAAACTTTTTAAGCTAAACCATCATAAATTATCATGTTTTATTTTGTGTTTAAAAAAATACTATTATACTATTAATTTTTCACATATGGAGTATTAAATAATTATATAATTTAGTGTACACACATATTTTATCACTAACACACATCATATTTATATATACGATTCGAAATCGCATTTTTAGAAATTTTTTAGTGCTTTCGATTCGAAATTTACGGAGAAGATTTCTGCATCTGATATATACATGCCCTGTTGGTTAGGCCATAAATGCTATATTTTATCATAATTGACACATTTTCGACGATTTTTTAGACCACCGCATTGGATCGTTCATACTACATAGCTCTAAATTGGTATTTTTGGGACTAACAGGAATTTTTTTAAATCAATCATCTTGTAAATTTGAATAAGCCTAATATAAATCTCGCTCGCACGCAGAAAATACAAAGATTTTGGGAGTATTTTGTGCATATTTTTACTTGAAGATAATCTAATATACATCATATGGGACGCCATGTAAATACAGAAATAGATACACATGTTAGATATCTAATATTTCTTAAACGTGCACGCCATCTTGACATTTCACACGCGGCACATCCGTTAGGCTTGAATCTGAATGTCAGGATTTTTTTTCAAGAAATTCACGCCGCCCTGCTCTATGGCCCAAGAAGTTAAAATGCATCGTATGCATGGTGCACCTATGCAGTTTAAAAAATGAAAACACGTTTATTGTTGGTGCACTAAATAAACATGAAGGTTTAACATTTTTAGGGTATTGGCAACAGGGCAATGTCCGCTATAGCTTCAGGCACGGATAAATGCAGATCACAAATATCAAAAGATATGTCGTCTTTTATTTTATTTAAACCGTTCAAAGAATAATAAAAAATAGTGCATGTTTAGATTGCAGAAAAAAAAATAAAAAAATAAACAAATTTTTCTAAGGTTTAAAGCTCCCTCCTTCAGTTTGTTTTTAGTTGCTAGTTTGCTTGAATCTAAATCCGGAGATTATCTCAATTTCTTACGAAAAGTTTGAAAAACAATTTATTCAAGCAAAACATTTTCATGTTTGAGAACAAAACCAGCGTGTGAAAGAAAACCGATTTAAAAAAAAAACTAGCCCGATATTTTATTTAACAATTTCTGAAATATATCTTCCTTTTACGTTGTTAATGTAAAGATTGAGATTGTTAACAAACGATAACTTTAAAAAAGAACTAAAATACTGTGAACTAAACTTGACTAGCAGGGGGCGGAAACGTCATGTGTGTGTGCCTGTACCAAAAGAGTGAGTTTGTATGATAAGGAACCCTTCTGTAAAGCAGTGCGACTGGCTTTTCTCATGCCAGACCAGCGCCATTTCCATTCCCTTATTCTTGTTCCCTGGTGCCCAGCCATTGAGACAAGAGTTCAAAACTTAATGTATGGTGGATATAGTTAAGTCCGCTCCTAGAGTACTATGCAACAAAAAGTTAGACTTGACTCGATTATCTTAGCTCTTGTATTTAAAAGTTTGAATCTTATCGCCGCACAGGGGCAGATAAAGGATTTAAGTGAGGGGGGGGGGGATTTTTTAGGAACAAAAAATTTCATAATTAGGAACCAAAGACGAACATTTTTTAGACTTAAACGACTCAAAAAGAGTAAAATTTAATGACAAAAGACTAAAAAACTAGATTTTAAACTTTTCACACATTATAGTTTATTAAGACAGATATTTTTCCTGTTTTGCACTAGGGTTTCTTTCCCTTAGGCATGCTATTGAGAAGCTTTTCTGAAAATAGGAACAACAAATTGTAACAATCATCATGATTCTTTCAAGATTGTTGTTACGGACAGGGTTACCCACACCCACGAAGTATGACAGTTTAAAGACAACCTGAAACATATAAATATATATGACGACTCTAGGGTTAAATTAAAATATCTGCCTGGAATGTAGTATTGTAATGGCTTATTTAATGATTTGGAAAGAGAAAAAAAGTTTACTGTTTTAGGTTCCATGTAGTATACAAACTAGCTGAAGTGACCGGCGTTGCCAGTGGAATTTTTAAAAAAATGAATTTTTAAGAGAAAAAAACTGCCGTTTGGCCAGCTAGAGCTAACTGCATATTAATATATATATATATGAGCGAGATACTTGCTGAAGTGCCTAGCGTTGCCCGTGAAATCAAAAAGAAATATGAATTTTGAAGAAGAAGAAAAATTATTTTTGAATACATTTTTTAAAACCTTTGTGACCCCATGGGTACCCATGTGTTCCCCATTTCAGCCAATTTGGTCCAGTCGTTTGGCCAGCTATAGCTAACATATATACATATAAATATATTTATATGAGCTTTGTCATATAGATAAAGAAAAAGACAGTATAATTTCAAAAAAGTAATCTCTGAAGTCTCATCTTTTGTGGGTAACCGTATGTTGAATTGGCGTGAAAGGTCAATTCTGTCAAACGATGAAATGGTATTTAAACCCACATTTTCATTGAAATGCATTTTCGCTAATAATCAAGGAAATATTTCAAGTATGCTAGATGCATATATGCAGTTTCAGCTTCCATCCTAAGTGGTTAAATTGCTAGCAATTGTTGGTCTTAAATAGCATTTTATTTGTTGGCTCCTGCAGTGGCCGGAAATAAGTCTTCTCAGATAATATGCTTAAAAATTTAAAATGGAAGTATAGGTGGAGGGAAGTAGGGGTTATATCTTCTCAGATAAGATGCTTAAAAATCTAAAATGATATGAAGGATGAGTTGCTATCTGAATTCTGATAAGAAACCTGTATATATCTATAACATACTGTCAAGTTAATTTCTTATTCAGTTCCAATCATAATATTCTCAAACTTACAAATATAGAATTCTATAAAATAAGAATTAAGAATTATATTATCTCCGTCACTTCTGAAGAATAAAAGATTAAAGAAACAATTTCAGATTTCGAGAAACAACTATTTTCAAAAATGAATCAATTTCAGATTTCGAGAAAAACTATTTTCAAAAATGAATCAATTTCAGATTTCGAGAAACAAATATTTTCAAAAATGACTGTTAAAATCAATGATATGTTTAAAATCGTCGTTTATAATTTCTAGTTTTATAAAAGATTATATTTACTTCATATTTTTCAATTTGAAAATGATTTTTCTGAATTTTTCCGAAGAAAAACTCGCCTGATAAGCATCTGTTTAATAAATTTCTTAAAATTTTACAGAGAAAAATGTCGAAACCATTAAAGGTGAATAATTATTCTTTTAGTCCGAATAAACTGCAAGTTTCAAAAATAAATCTATTTTTATAATTCAGAATCTTGTTATTCCTGAATCAAGTGATAAACACAACGATACGGAGGTAATAACTAACAAGTAATAAAAAGTAATTTTTATAAATTTTTTTATATTATTTTTATTATTGACAACATGTCATTTTAATTAGAAGTATCTGAATACAAAAGTATTTTTTCAGTATCTCTATTATTAATATGATAGAAATAAATCGTTACTAATTGTGATACTTATATATACAGTATTAATGGTATCATTATTATTTCTGTAATCAGTCTGATGTATCTGACTACCCTGAGAGCTATACTCCAGTTCCAAAACTTACCAGGTTATTATAAGTTTGCAGTATGAAGAACAGCTTATAGAAAGGTTAAAGGTTGAAAGGTTAGGGGGCAAAAGTTAAAGGGCTAAGATTGAATAGTTTGAAGATTAGTGGGCTAGGTTTAAAAGAGAAGAAAATGAAAGGGCTAAGATTGGTATGTTAGAAGAATACAGGGCTAAGATTGGCATGTTAGAAGAATACAGGGCTAAGATTGGTATGTTAGAGGGTTAAAGGGTTAAGATTGGCATGTTAGAGGGTTAAAGGGCTATGACTGGAAGATTAGAAGGTTAGAGTTAGGGTGAAACTATTTTATAGAAAATGTCAAATCCTTTTGTACACGCGAAATAAATACAATTGACCAAGATTGGGAGTTTGGAATATTAAAGGGCTAAGATTGGGAGTTTGAAAAATAAGAGGGCTAAGATTGTAAGTTTTGAAGATTTGAGTGCTAAGATTAAAAGTTTAGATAGAATCTTTTTTTTACTCGAAAACTATTTATATCTTATAAGCAAAAAATGCTCACGTCACTTTTGCAGAGAAACCGCAAATGAAAATAAATAGTTTATAAAAAAAACATTTATATCTAATTCATATTTGATCAGACAAATCTTTTGAAGGTACCGTTGCAAATCGAATACTACCATCTTTGCATAGAGGGTCACTTTGAAATAACGCTTACAGTCAATTAAAAGGGAGTGTTCGCGAAAAATGAAAGGGGGTATAGGCTGAATGCGATAAAAAAGCGCTTTTGATGGCTACTAATATTACTTCTATCTGTTGCGTCTATAAGGAGAAAATTGTTAAAAACGACCAATACCGAAGAACGTAGTGTCTGTACAAATTCAGAAAGATCGTAAACAAATCAATTTAATCCCAAACAAATCATCCAGATATTACAAACAATAGTCATCGATTATCTTTCGACGCATTCGTAAATAGTTGATTTTTCATAATATTTTGTATTTTTCATGATCTGAAAGTTACCTTTGAAAACATTTATTCCTGTTTCGAGGGTTTTTGATAATGAAGACGACATTTTCATATTTTCCAGGAATGTTCGAAAATCCAGCGCTAGCGAAAATTATTTTTTTTAAATCAAAAATATTATGAAATATTAACTATATACGAATGCGTCGAAAAATAATAAACCAGAGTTAAACGATATAAATCAAACTTGTTAATATTAATCTATAAAATTATTTAGTTTTGAGCTTTCTTCTCTGAATAATGAGAGAAAAATGATTAAGAACGATCTTCTTCTCACAGCTAGGTATTTTTGTATTTAAATGTTTTTTTATTTAAGTTTTCATTTCTGAGTTTTATCAAATGAATTTTGATCCCCTTGACCAATTTACCTCAAATTCTAAATTGGGGAACTCGAGAGAACCACGGACATAGCCTAGGCTTGGTTTTGAGATTCTTAGTTGAGTGATTTTTATAGAGAAATATAGCTAAAATCGTAATTTAAGAACAAGTGGGGGTAAACGGTGGGAGTAACGATGGGTACCCTGGGGGCAAGGCTGGGTTCCCAACCTAGTTTATCGTATAATTAAGTGATCTGTCCCTAACTTATCGCACTTTTCTAACGTCTATCTAGATATAAATATTTTATTTGGCTTGTCTTTTTTTGTTTGCATCCAATAATAATCGTCTAAACGGCTGAACCAATGTTTAATTTTAAAAGAAAATGGGAAATACAGCAATATAGCAAATTATCACCAAAACAAATTGTTTTCTGAAGGACTACTGAAAAAACGACGGCCTAAAAAGCAACATTTAAAAGCAAAAATTGTTTCAAGAAAAAAGGGCTGCACTGCTGCAGAACTTTGAAGTGTCCGTTCTAAAAGCCTAGTATAACCGTCACAGTTTTAAACTCTACCAAATGCGTTTGATGGTATGGGGTATATTTGTCATTTGTATTTGTAATTTTCTTTTTGCAAATAATTCTTATTTTTTATCTCAAAAATGTATGTTTTGTGTAGATTATCTGAAAATAGGCATAAAGAAGCCTTACACAGTAGAGCGCATAAACTTAAGCATCATTATAGAGAGGTAAGTGTTTTTTAAGGAAATTTTGAAGAAGAGTAAAAAATTTTCGCGGTCAAACATGCAATTTAAAAAAAATTCTCTCATGAAAGATGTTGACTCTGGCAAAAGATATGCTTAAATGGAGAAACCCCCAATCTTTCGTTAACAAGCGATTAACTTTTTTATATAAGTCAACATTTTGCAGAATGGTAAAAAATCTTTTTGATCATACAATTTTTAGGTGCATCTTAAAAAACCAAAATAAAGTTAAATGTTTTTTTAAAGTAATAAATCTATGCCGAATACTAGGTAGGTAGAAGCATGTGACCAAGATATGACAATGTTTAGGTAGAAGCATGTAACCAGGTTATGGCAATGTTTAGGTAGAAGCATGTGACCAAGATATGACAATGTTTAGGTAGAAGCATGTGACTAAGTTATGACAATGTTAAGGTAGAACCTTGTGACCAATTTTTGCCAATGCTTAGGAAGAAGCTTGTTCCCAAGTTGTTTGGGTAGAAGCTTGTGACCAGGTTATGACAATGTTTAGGTAGAAGCATTTAACCAGATTATGACAATGTTTCGGTGGAAGCATGTTACCAGGTTATGGAAATGTTTATGTTGAAGCATGTGACCAGGTTATGGCAATGGTTAGATAGAAGCATGTGACTAGGTTATGGCAATGTTTAGGTAGAAGCTTGTGCCCAGGTTATGGCAATGTTTAGTGTAGAAGCATATGAACAGGTTATGGCAATGTTTAGGTAGAAGCATGAGACCAGGTTTTGACAATGTTCAGATAGAGGCATGTGACTAGGTTATGGCAATATTTAGGTAGGTAGAAGCATATGACCAGGTTATGGCAATGTTAATGTAGAAGCTTGTGACCAGGTTATGGCAATGTGTAGGTAGAAGTATATGACCAGGTTATGGCAATGTTTAGGTAGAAGGATGTGACCAGGTTATGTTAATGTTTAGGTAGAAGCATGTTACCAGGTTATGGCAATGTTTAGTGTAGAATCATGTGACCAGGATATAAAAATGTTTAGATAGAGGCATGTGACCAGGTTATTTCAATATTTAGGTAGGTAGAAGCATGTGACCAGTTTATGGCAATGTTTAGGTAGAAGCATGTGACCAGGTTATGGCAATGTTTAGGTAGAAGCATGTGACCAGGTTATGGCAATGTTTAGGTAGAAGCATGTGACCAGGTTATGGCAATGTTTAGTGTAGAATCATGTGACCAGGATATAACAATGTTTAGATAGAGGCATGTGACCAGGTTATTGCAATATTTAGGTAGGTAGAAGCATGTGACCAGGTTATGGCAATGTTTAGGTAGAAGCATGTGACCAGGTTATGGCTTATGGCTTCGTTGCAATTATGTTTCTTCTGACAGGTAAAAAATAAAAAGGTCATTTTCCGATTTTTTTCTTAAATTTCCTGTAAAGTCCTTATTTTTAAGAACCAATAATACCTTAAAAGAAATGGAAAAGGAGTACCCACATTCCCCTAAAAAACTCCATGGGTCGTGTCAGGGATTCATTACATTACAAAATTTGAGGGGGAGGGGGTTTCGTCGTCCATGTTTTAATTACTATCCCCCCCCCCTCTGTCATATATTGTATTAATTTATTTCAGAAATTAAATTTTGTAATAAGAAATACGAGATTTTGTTTGGAATACAATTTAATTTCTTTATTTTTCATATATGGCGGGGTTACATAGATTTAATAAAGGTAAGAAGAGGGGAATAATTTTCTTTGAATTTTTTCTAATAATTTTTTCCTTTTATTAAATTATTTTTAGACAATCATTTTAAGTAAATGATGGTGATACTTGTAAGATCTATATAAATGTATTGCAACACTCATGAGAAGTAACATATAAACAGGTTTTTTGAGAGAAGAAAAATTAAGAATGAATGACTTTCTTTAAGTCGAAAACGAGAAAATTCTATTAGAAATGATGTCAGAAGCGTCAAAGAATTATTTTTTATTTTTTCTAAGTTTGGAAAACTTATAAAAGATGGTTCACAATCATGATCATGCTGGAGTCAAGTGAGGGGAATGAGGGTGGGGGAACAGGGGGGCGAAATATACTGATGGGGGCACAACTCGGTTCACCCCCCCCCCCAGTTGCGCCACTGAGTACAATGTACAATGGCGACTTGAAAAGTTGCAAAAGCTAAATATTTCAATTGAAAAGGTGCGCTAAGCGCACTCTAAGTCTAGTTCCTGAATATTATTCTAATCTTTTCTGTGAAAACTTTCACAGTAATTGAATAGTTAATTTTGGAACACTCTGTTGGGAATTTTAAAATGTTGGTGGTGAGTTGTGGCATACTGGTGGTGAGTTGTGGCATACTGGTTCTGAGTTGTGGCATACTGGTTCTGAGTTGTGGCATACTGGTTCTGAGTTGTGGCATACTGGTTCTGAGTTGTGGCATACTGGTTCTGAGTTGTGGCATACTGGTTCTGAGTTGTGGCATACTGGTTCTGAGATGTGGCATACTGGTTAGTGATTAGTGACTACTGCTTTATTACACCTAAGCTAGCTGCTGCAATTATCAGAATGTCTGAACCAAGGTTGCATAATAATCTCAATGTGCTCCAATGTACGGAAAATGTCGTCTCCTGAGATAGATATATAAAACCCTCATATGACGTCACTCTTGCCTCAATAATCAGTGACATCATACGAGGTCTATCTATCTTAGGGGAGGACATTTTCTCTACATTGGAGCGCATAGAGAGTAACCAACCTTATTATACAACCTTGGTCTGATTAACTAAATGGGACACCTCACCTTATACTTCTATTCAATTCTAATATATTTCAGGTTTCTACTGGTTTATCATGATATTCAGCCTGGAAATAAAGGAGACTTTTATCGTAAATATCTTTTTAATATTTAGAAAATTCAACTTTTTTCTGGAATATAATTTTCTTGTGATTTCAGAGTTATCACGTGATTGCCCCAGCTTTTGTGTATGGTTCAATAATGCTCGGAGGATTAAACTTAATCCTTTAAATAATTGTCTTATGGGATTAAACTTAATCCTTTAAATAATTGTCTTATGGGATTAAACTTAATCCTTTAAATAATTGCCTTATGGGATTAAACTTAATTCTTTAAATAATTGTCCTATGGGATTAAACTTAATCCTTTAAATAATTGTCTTATGGCATCTAACTTAATCCTTTAAATAATTGTCTTATGGGATTAAACTTAATCCTTTAAATAATTGTCTTATGTCATCAAACTTAATCCTTTAAATTGTTTCATTGGGGGATAAACTTATCTCTTTAAATTATTTTGTTGGAGAACTTGATTTGCTTTTATAAATCATTCTTTTAGAGGATTAAACTTAATCCTTTAAATCAATCTTTGGGAGGAATAAACTTATTTCTTTTATTCATTGGAGAATTAAACTACAGTTAAACTCATAAATATGAATACGTTGGAAGAATTTTTAGAATGTCGTCTTAATCACTATTCACTTGGTTATGCCGCTGAAAATTATATGATATTTTGTGCCCAACTTCACTAAGCTGTTGGATAAAATGTGTCGCGTATTTCAGGGCTTTTTATTTATCTTTACAAAAAAAAATAATTTAGAAACTTTTATTCCCGATAAAAAAAAACTATGACTTTAAACACAGAAATGTTTAAATGTTTTAGTAAACTATATATATCCCTGTACAGCTTTTGGCAGAAAACTATGACAGCTTAGAAAAATTAGAATTCAAAGCGACATTACATAAATTCTACCTATGTATTAATATTAATGAGCTCAAGAGTTTGAAGTTCCAACTCTTGAGTTTGAAAGGATCTAGATTCTGATTTTAATTTAACGTTATTAAAATAACCATTTATAAAATATATGTTCGGTGAAATTAAAAAAAAGCATTTTATTTTGAGCTAGAGTTCAGAGGATTTTTTAAAAGATATTTTAATATCTTTCATCGTTATTTCAAGTGATATCATCTTTTTTCTTTCTTAAATTGATAATTTTTCAAATGAAACTGTAGTTGCTTTAAAATAGTAACTTGCAAGTGGAAACATAACTTTCATAAATTTAGGTTTTTTAACAAAAAATAATTAACAAAAGTTTTTCAAAAAAGTAAAAAGCATATTTGTTTGTTCCCCTTTAAATTATAACATTCTATAGAAAAATTCTTATGTTAATATTATCATTTTTCTTGCAATCTAATAAATCATAGAAATAGAGGAAATGTACTATTCAAAATGCTGATAACTCCAAAGCACCTTTATTATATTCCATATCGTATCGTACAGGGTTAGCCACAAAGGATGAGATTTTAAAGAGAACTTGAAACTCTTAAAATACGATAATTTTAAGTTTAATTTGTGTAGTTTTTTGCCCTGAATATTGTGTTTAAATGGCTTATATAATGATTTTAATGATTTGGCAAAGGAAAAAAGCAATTTTTTACAGTTGCAGGGAATCATGTATGTAGGAAACAGTAAAATTTCGTAAAGTTGTCTTTAAAATGTCATCCTTTCTGAGAAACACTTTATCTAAAATTATAGCGAAGGTCAGTTTTTGAATAATTTGGTTTTATTTTATTATTGTTAAAGGGACTGTATAGACGTAATTTCATAAACGTCGATTCACTTCAGTACCTTAAAACCTTTGTATGATAAAAAATAAATAAGATATCAATGTTTTAACTTTGAAAATTGATTATTCATAATTGTGGGTTCTGTTACAGAAATAATGGAGAAGTGTATTCACTTTAAATGCTAGAAAACCAACGATGATATCTTCCACATTTGTGATCCGAAAGAGGTTTAAAGGGTTCTCTGTTCTGATTTGCAATAATTGATAAATATTTAAATGTAAAAGTTTCAATTTAGAACTCAAGTCTCTACTTAGTATGTCGACAAACGCTTTTTAATTTATTGAAGTTATTGAAATGTTTTTGATGCAAAATAGTTTTTTGTTAAAATCAATTTTCTAATAACTTCTATAAGCTTAGGTTACTGACCAATTTTATTTAATACGCTTTCAAGGTTTCCCACTGCACAGGATCATTTATATATCATACATGTTGCCGTTTTTGATTCAAAGCGAAGAAAGGTAAAAAGTTACACAATTTTCTTTTCTTTTTCCCTTCCCCCCATATCATGATGTATACCAAAAATATAAGATACTTAATGGAATTGTTGTAAATCTTTTGCTAAAATGTAGAACGAAAATTACCAAGGATGAACAAATTATAATTTTTGTGTAATTAACATCATAAAAAGCTTTCAAACGAGAAAGGAAGGAACCACTTCCCTGTAAGTATAAAATGCCTTTTTTTCGACTACGAAATGTGCACCCTTCAGAAGGTGGGTGGTGAGGATAGTAAAGGTCGGAGAGTGTTATGAATGCCAGAAACAAGCTTAAAACAATTGATTTAATGAGAATCGATACCCATATTGTAGACCATGGGCAAAGAATAATTACAGAGTGGGGATGGGGTCTCTTAAAAAACTGAAGGTAGCTGGGGTAGTAAGGGTAGTTGCCATTCAGATTCAGCTTCAAGGGTGGGGGTGGGTTCTCTCTAAAAACAGGTGTCATACTTCATACATCATACATCATACATCATACATCATACATCATACATCATACATCATACATCATACATCATACATCATACATCATACATCATACATCAT